CTACTTATGGTCTTTCACATGCAATATATAACTTATGGTCTCTTACATTCAATACACAGCTTATGGTCTTTCACATTAAATTCACAGATTATGGTCTTTCACATTCAATACACAGCAAAATTATTTAGCATCAATGCCCGAAGTTAGTTTCCTATGTGAGTGTCGGAGTTTGTACCTAAAAATGTACCTCAAATGTTTTAATCGGCCTGGCTTGATTCTTTTTTATGAAATTACCGCCCGCATATCCCAGCTCCTCCCCTTCGGCGGTCTGGATTGGCTCGTGCATTATCACGCGTATACATATAAACACAGTCACTCACCAATTTGACCTATGACGTCAGTCGTACCTATCCATTTTAGGAATTACCGATTGCTGTGTCATACCAGCTCCCTGGACGTACGTAAACACTAGCAGACGTGTAAACAAGTATACATTTGGCTGTACTCACAAAAACCGACCAAGGGAACTCTCCACTGTTATTGCTGGTGTGTATTTGTGGCTTCAGACAGACTGGTAAGCGTTGTTTTGAGGGACTGTGAATCAACTATATCATGGGTGAAGCAAGAAGTAGTAAGGCGGACTTAATTGGCGAGAATTATCTGACTTGTTGTGTTTGTTTTGAACGATACCAGAATCCTAAAATTCTACCATGTCACCATTCATTCTGTGAGTTATGTTTAACACAGTGGGTGGAAGAACATGGTGGACACTCGTGTCCACTTTGCAGAAAAACGTTTCAGGACATTGCTTTACAAGAACTGCCACCAAGTATTGTTATCAGTGGCGTCATCGAAATACTTGAGGGTACGAACCCGGAAAAAAATGGCCCGATAACATGCAATGGTTGCCAAGGAAGTCGAGATTTAACACAGCGGTGTATGGACTGTGCTGTTTACCTGTGCAAGCGTTGCGTTACAGCCCATGGGCGAAATCACAATATCGTGACAATTCAAAGAGAAAGGTTAAACGTTGCACATTGCAGTACTCATAAAGGCAAGGTGTTAGATTTATTCTGTGAAACGTGCGTAGAAGCTGTTTGTAGTTTGTGTGTACCGGAAAAACACAACACGCATGCTTTTTCAAAAGTGGAAACCGCCGCTGCCAATTTTCTGTATTGGTTGGATCCTCAAATTCGGGATTTAAGTGCAAAAATAAAGGAGGCACATAATACTATAGATCAGTTAACTACACGTGGACGGCATGTTAAAAAAAAAAAGGAGGAAGCCGAATTACAAATAAAAGAGCAAACAGAACATTCAATACAGAATGCATTATCAGTAATAAGAAAGCAAGAAGAACGATTGCTGAAAAACTTAGAACGTGAATTTACCGAAGTCGAAACAAAAATAAAAAAGGACACAGAAAGACTTCGATCAAGCGTAGATTTACTCAAAGCGTCTCATGAATACATTGATAAAGTGAAACAATATAGCAGCGCTGTGGAGGTTATGAAATCGCGTAGCCAGGTAAAAACCACAATGGAAACGATGCTGTCATTAGACACAAAATTAAAGAACACGCAAATTCCGAAGTTTGTGCCAACTGAGCTAGAGAGTGAAATAAAGGTATTGTTTCAAAATTTAAAATCACGTCGGTCATAATGATTTGTCAGAATGGAAAGTTCGAATGTTTTTTTTTATTCCCCAAAAGACCAATTCGAAAAGAAATCTCAAATAGCAAATCAATAACTAATAAAATTATTTGTGGACTTGTGAGCTTCTTATTGCAGACAAAACAT